TTCTTCTTTCTTATGAAGTTTTTTACCAACACTTCTGTGAAGTTTTTTTTTTTTTTGTCACTTGCACTATCTCCTGTTTTTTCACTGACTCTGGTCAATCTTATGTCATTCTTTGCATCATCTAGCAGCTGTTGGATTGATTTTTCATGGTTCCTTGTTATTTTTAAGAAATCTTTCTTTTTGTGATCACTGACTGCAATCTTGTCTTGTAGGTCTGATATTCGGTCCTTACATTGTCTCATTCTACTGTATTTACTTCAATAAAAGTTTTAATCTCCTGGATATCTGTTTGAATCTGTTTCATGGTTTCTATTTCTTTCCTACATTGGGTGTTCATGCTTCACATAATTTTCCTCTATTTTTTTTTAATCTGAATCTGCTCTAGAGCCATGGAGCATGTTTTTAGTATAGTCATCATCTTTGTAGTTATCTGAGAAATTATTTCTGAATCAATCTTTTTCTAGATCCTCATTCATCTGCTTTGTTACTTCTGTTGTTACCACTTCATACAGTCCACATGGGTCGCTTTCCAATTGCTCTGCCTAGTGCCTCCTGGGTTTGTCTTTGATTAGCTGGAAGTCTGGAGTTGCATCTTGTTTAGGTGTTTTCTCCTTTAGTACTTTTTTTGTAGTTTAATTCCTGGGTTGATGCTTGTAAATTGTGTATGGCAAGTAGGTTTATTGCTAGTCTTTAGACTGCTTAGGAAATGACTACTTCTCAGAGATGTCTTCCAGGTGTAGCTGGCTTTTGGGTTTTGAGTCTGTTGCAAGATCCTGCCATTTCAATTTATTGGGGATGAGAAGTTGCTGCCTATTTGACCTAGCCCTTTGTTCTTTGGCACTGGCCTATGGTATTTTTTGACCTTCACATAATATCAGTCTTGGCGTACCATGAAGAATCACTGATTAGAACAATATGTCACCTTGGTTAAAGTAGTACAATCAGCAATAACAATACCATCAAACACAATTTAGAGAATGACAAACTGTGGTAACTATTAATTCACCACCTTTAAACATATAAACCAGATTTGTGGTTATATAACAAAATCTAAAACCAACCAGAAAATTGTATACAGCAAATATGCCCTCAATATGGTGGTTTTACCTTCAGGGGAGCAAATTTAAAAGGGGTTGGGAGAAAAATAGAGAAATAGAAGAATAGGAAGAGATTAAAAGAAAGACTGGAGGACAAAGGAAAATTACACAAACTTTGGGAAACTGGTAAAAAAGACAGGAGGGAAAGAGAGAAGGAAGAAATAGAAGCAAGAATAGAGCACAACAAACTAGAAGTAATGTTCATACTCATACAAAAACAAGAACAATCAAGAAAAAAGAAAACAAAAAATAAAAGAAAAAAGGAAGATAAGAAAAAAATGTCCATTTCAAGGTGTATCTCTGCTGTCACTAGTAGGCAAAGTGGGCAGACAGACTCCAGATCCATGCTGATTGATTGTGGCAAGCCAGTCATAGGTGTACAGCATGGTAGCAGATAATCCCAGCAAGCCTGCACATTTAGTTCCACTGAAGTTCAGGCTGGTTTCTGGCTGTGAGGCTGGAACCAGATTTATTCAGCCTGCAACACTCCGTGTGCTACCTGCCAATTTGAACTTGGCTCTTTGACCTCCTGCTGACTTGAACCAGGTTCTGCTTTACCCTGATACTGGAAACCCTTAGATGCAGCCAGCCCAGTACTGCTTTGAGTTCCAATCTCAACTGACTTGTTTCCAAGAGGGTTACCATCCAGATGCCCTCTCTTGGGGCATGTCTGAAGCCAAATAACTCACAGCCACTGCAGTCCACCGCATGCACTGCTCTGTTCCACTGGAGCATTTCTTGATGGAGACTTTTGGGGTCATCAGCAGTCACCACGTGTTTGCAGGTTTGAGCCACCCCTCCCCCACAGTGAGTCAGGACTCAGGGAGAAAGTGCCACTTGCCACCTCCTCCTTCTTCATTGAGGTTTTTCTCTCCACTCTCCCTGTGGGCTTCAGTTCTCACTTCAGATCCTTCCTGGTCCTGGGGACCCACTTCCTTCATTCTCTTCTCATGTTGCTATCTTCCAGCATCTATACAACAAATCTCAGAGAGGCTCTTTCTCTGCTGTTCACCACCACCATCTTTGAGTGTCTGTAATCCCAGCTATTTGAGAGGCTGAGGCAGGAGGACTGCAACTTTCAGGCCAACCTGGGCAACTTCCCAAGACCCTGTGGCTGATTCAGAATTTTTTTTAAGGACTTTGTAAAATGCACTCCAATCCTAGAGATGTGAAAATGTGAAAGACCATGTCTCATAAAGTATAAAATATATTTCTATTGCTTGAGTGATTAATTCTAGGAATCAGTTTCATGCCACAGTTACCACACAGCCAATGAGGCCAACTGAGAGGGCTGAGCTACATTGGAGAATTTTATTTATGGTAAGTGTAAATTTTGATGGTTCATTTTTCCCACTTTGTGTTCTGTTTTGTGACAGTGTCTCACTGTGTAGCCCAGGCTGGCCTTGAACTCATGGAGATCCTCCTCCTTCAGCCTTCTGAATGCTGAGATTGAAGGTGTGCACCACCACACTAGGCTAACACTTTATACTTTTAAAATTTATTTTTAACTGATCAGCTCAAGCCATAATGAACTTTATGGAACTTAAATGAATTTCTCTTGGCTCCTTGTCTGTGCGTGTGCTATTCCCTCTTCTAGGCATTCCCTTCCTTCCTCCCATCCCTCGTCTTTTCTCCACAGCATATAGAAAATGCCTATTAAATATATTACATAGTGTGGTCTTAAATGGAATGATTTTTAAAAATCTTGCATCTTTCCTCTAAAAATATGAGCATTTGTAAAAGCATCTCCCTGTGTGCCAAGCTTGAAAAGTAACTCATATGTTGATTCTTTATTGTTGTTATTCTGGGGCTTGAACCCTGGGGTGCTCTACCACTGAGCTACATCCTCAGCCCTTTCTATTCTTTTGAACCAAGGTCTTGATAAGTTGCCTAGGCTGGCCTTGAACTTGCGGTCTTCCTGCCTCAACCTCCATATGCCCACTTTCTAAAATTGCACTTAATTAAGGTACACAATTTAACATGGAACAAATTGTAGGAGGACTCTGTCCTGCATCCATTGTGAAGAGGTATTCCTGCCAGAGGACATGAGAATGAGATACCTGTAAATGCAGACAAGCAGGAAGCAGACTGGGGAGACAGGTGACATTCTATGAGGTTAGCTTGCAAGGCACAGAAAAATGCTGGCAGCCCTGATAGTCATGGGCCCAAACTGCTGCCCTGACAGCCGCCTCCAGAGTGATCTGTGTTGATGCTTGGCCCCAGTACTTGCCATGCATGAGGGTTCCTGTCTCCAATTCTTGCAGAGAAGATAGACCCTGTCACCTTTGCCTGGTACCTGGCATCTTGGGGATCGAATCCACCTGCCCAACCCAGACTTGCCTGTCTCTAAAACCTAAGCCTGCTAAGGCAACCGGTCCAGGGAGATCTTGGTCCAAATGCAAAGCCCCAAGACTCCATGACTCTACTCTGGCCACAGCAAGGAGTGGATCCTCTAGAAAACTGAAGTGACTTCTTGGGAGAGCTCTTGTCCCAGACATCACCAACTGGTGGCCCATAGGTCTATGATGGGCAGCATGTTCCTACCCCCATGGATGCCCAGGCCTAAGTCCTGGACCCGGAGTGTGTGAGCTCTCATGGCATCTGCAAAGGACTTTGCAGATGTGATTCAAGTGAGACAGGGAGCTGATCCTGGACCATCCTGGTGAGGCCTGTGGAATCACATTCTTGTCTCAGGCTCAGAGGCAGAAGACAGGACACATTGCTGGCTCAGCAGACAGAGTGGGGGCCACCAGTTACTTAACACAATTAAATCTCTAGGCAAGGGTTGCAAGTAGCCCACAGAAGCTGGGAAAAGACAGGAAACAGATTCCAAGCCAGAGGCTCCAAAGGGCAGGCAGCTCTATCCAGGTTTCCTTTTAATCCTTTTGGCTATCTGACTACAAGAACAGTGAAACAATAAAACTGAATAGTTAAGCCATACTATGCACAGCATTCATCATAGCAGCAACAGGAAACTAATACAGGGCTAGGTCCAGCCAATAGATGCACTTTGTTACACCTACATGCAGTGTTCTGAAAATCTGGAAATACTACCAAAAAGTCAAGATTCCAAGCTTTTTTTGGGGGGGGGAAACCAGTAACAGTATAAGAACTGGCAAAAAATTCTCAACATTTCTTTTGTTCTTTTTTCTTTTCTTGTATTTTTTAAGACAGTCTCACTGTGTAGTTCAGGCTGGCCTTGAATTCACTATGTAACCCAGGCTGGTCTTGAACTTGTGGCAATCCTCCTGCCTCAGCCTCCCAAGTGCTGGGATTACAGACATGTGCCATCATACCCAGCTAGTATTTCATATTTATATTTATTTCTTTTTTTTTTTTTTATGGTGCTAGGGATTGAACCCAGAACAACTGGGTCCCCTACCACTCTGCCACAAAATTATATCCCCAGTGCAGTATTTCTTAGTTTTTAAAATTTGCATTTACTTACTTTGTGAAGGTTGAACTCAGGGCATTGCACATGGTAGGCAAGTGCCCTACTACTGAGCTACATCTGCAGCCCCCCACTCAGCCCCTCTCAGAGACAGGCAGAGATCACATTATTCTGATGGTGCAAGGGTCCCACAGCACCCCATCACCCCTATTTGCTTTATCTCCTCATGCTATCATGAGGGTAAGGATCAAAAGTTCATCTCTACGACCTTTGGAAGGATGACCTTTAACTTGCTAAAATTTATATGTAAGTACTGCACGCTAACCGACTGCACCACTGGAGCTTCTGCTAAAATTTATAAATAAGAAGTGAAGGGGCAAGAATGAGAAAAAAGGAGACCCAGACCATGAGAACTTCCTTCTCATTTGAACTTGACCTTCACCACATGAAAGGGACTCCCCCCCGTTACTTACCTGCATGGGCTCTGAGAGCTGAGCATCTTGGAATCTTACCTGCAAAGGGCGGGCCCAGCAAGGCAGAGACACCGTTAGCACAGATGATGATGCCGTAGGCATTGGCCAGGTGTTCGATGCCAACCAGGTCCTCCGTCACCACGGGCATCAGGGAGAAATACCCACTGGAGAACCCGATCAGCGCACAGATGACCGCCAGCCCGGCATATGTGTGCATTAAGGGCAGGATAAAAATGCTGAGAACCAAGGTAAAGTTGGCCATGAGGAAGACGTTCCACACGCTGATGCAGGGCAGGTCAGCCAGGAAGCCCAGGCTCACTTTCCCAAAGATATGAAGTATTGCTATAATTGAAGTCAGCGGGAAAACGTCATTTTGCTCCGCTAAGTTATACAAATTGACTATTTCTGGGAGGTGGATGAAAGGGATGACAAAGCTGCTGTAGGCAAACAAAGCCCAGAAAACAAAGGCTACAAACATCCGATTAGTAAAGAGTGAGGCTGTCCCAAAATAGCCTGAGTACCATTCCCGGAAGCCCTTCCGGACCCGCAGGGTGACCTGGCTCATGGTCTTCACAACTCGAAGGGCGTACATGTTCTTCCTGGGCTGGGCCTGACCTTGGCACTCTTGGGCTTGAAGGTCACAGAGGTTCCCTTCCCTCCCCAGTGCGCTGTCCTTCTCTTCTGTACTGCCCAGCTGTCCATCTGACTTTACAGACTCTGTGGAAGGAGCCGGGATTACTTGGGGATCTTTCCCTCCTGGATGACCTCCGTCTTTCCCGAGAGAGAGCGGCCTCATGAGCGCCCCGCACACACACAGGTTCAAGGACACAGCGCCCTGGATGAACATGGCATTGCGCCAGCCATACTCCACGCACAGGTATTTGAGCAACACGGTCATTAGGAACGTCCCAAACCCCGTCCCTGTGGTGCTGAGCCCCTGGGCCAGGGCTCGTCTCTTCTGGAAATACCTTCCCACCATGACCACTGCGGGCAGGTAGGCCATGCCACTGCCAAGGCCTGCAGGGGGGGGGGTGAGAAGAAATGCACACAGTACAACATCAGTGAGCACGCCATGAACACAGCTGTTTCAAGAACCCTCCCTGTGACCAAACACCTGAGAAAATCAACTTATAAGGTGGAAAGGTTAATTTTGGCTCAGGGTTTCCAAGTTTTTGAGTCCACGGTTGGCTCGCTTTGTTGCTTTTGGGCAATGGCAAACGACGGGAAGAATGTGTAGTGGAGTAAACTTGCTTGACTCATGGCATCCTGGAAGCGAACAAAAAGAGGGAGAGACCATGCCTGCAAAGACCTAACTGCCTTTTCCTAGGCCCTACCTCTTAAAAGTACCACCACCTCCCAATGGCACCACAGGACGGGACCAAGACTTCAATACATGAGCTGGTGGAGGACATTCAAGACCCAAATAGTAAGACCTGCATTCCCTTCTACTGATGTCCAAGCCATGCTTTTCCTAACAAAAGAATAATGGTGATTGTGGAAAGAAGCTCTGAGGAGAAGCACCGGGGAGGCCTCCACCAAAGGCTGTTCTAGCCCGTCGTTTCCCTCAGGCTTTGTGGCAGAGGTGCCTCCGCCCAGGAGAACAGAAGCTGGGGGCAGACAGGATGGTCTGCAGTGTTAGCCCTGCCAGGCCCAGGACACTCAGCCTCAGGGTCGAAAAAGGAATGAACGGCTGCCCCAAAGGCTGTGCTGTGCTGGCCTTGCTGGTTGCCCTTTGGACCCAGGAAAGTGTTTATGTCCAAGGGAGCAAGGAACAACTCCAGATAGTCTGCAGAAACCCAAGAATGGGCTGATGTGTTCACAAGTCAAGGCAGAAGAAAACACACAGGGGTATACATGGCTACTGGATGTTAAGATTGCAGCATAACACTATTTGCATCATTGATCTTTAAACATATCTTTAGCAAACAGGAACAGTTCTTTACATTTGCAAAAATGAGACGCTTGTGGCGAAGGTGGATTGTGTCGGGGGGCACAAGGGCTGCAGGACCCTTCTGTACTCCACTCAGTGGTGCCGAGAATCTATAACTGGTCTAAAAATGAAGTCTATTAATGATACAAAGTGAAGTAAAATGTTCAGTGGTGGGCATACCAAATATCCAACTTTAGAATGAAACCCTCCTGCTGAGTTACCACCCCTACTCCCAGTTGTACCCTGTTCTACCCTTTTTCTTGTTATGGTTCAGATCTGAAATGGTGCCCAACACCTCCCGTGTTTGGAAGGTGACTGGAATAAGGGGTACTATAGCTGATTTGCTGTTAGGGGGTCAGGACTTTTTGGAAGAGGAGGGTTTTGGGGGACCTGCAATAGTCAATTTTGATGTGTCAACTCGAAGGGATTAAGAAATGCCACCTGGATCAGTGTTGCACAACTCTGGGTGTTTCTGATGATGACTGACATACAGGCCAGCAAATTGAGGAGGGAAGACCCACCCCGGATATAGATGGCTCCAACCAATAGGCTTGTAGCCTGGATAGAATCAAAAGGGAAAGAAGAAGGAAGTCTTTGGAGGACCTCTGGATGTAACCATTGCCTTTGGATGATCATCTCTAGTTCTTTCAGGCTTCTAGGGCAGACTTTTCAGCCTTCCATTGAAGACTTTTGGTTTTCCAGCATGGACTTTACCAGACTCTGCAGTGAACTCCAGGTCCTCAGTCTTCAGCTCGATCCTGTGGCTCTCCAGCACACAGAGAACCATTTGCATTCTTCCACCCCAGAGTCCACAGGGGGCCGTGTAAGCCTCCTCAGTAAATCCTTTATATCACATATATTTAGCATTATACTAAATCTGTTCCTCTAATGAATCTTAACTGCTGCAGGGTCTGACCAGAAAGGATGGATTTCCCTTCCCTTGACTATTTCTGCTTCCTGGCTGCCATGCCATGAGCAGCCCTCCTCTGCCGTGCCATCCTGCCTTGGAGCCAGCAGACTGTGGACTGAAATCTCTACCAACCATGAGCCAAAATAAACCTTCTGCCCTTAAGCTGGGTATTGTGTCTCAGCAAAAAGTGCCTAAGACATCTCCTGTGGTACTTAGTCATATGATTTACTTACTTATGTGTATTGACTATGTGTATATTATGGTCTTTCCCCATTGCCCTTTTGCTAGACTGTAAGCCCCACGAGGGCAGGGATCTTCTGTTTTGTTTACTGATGTCTCTCCCAAGTGCCTAGAACAGTGCCTTCTGCATAATACATGAATGGAAGAAAGTTCATAGCAAGATAAAATGGTCATACTATGAGATAATAGCAACTATTTTCAAATAAGAATAGTTTTACATTTCCAAAGTTAAGGTACACAGGCTGGGGATATAGCTCAGCAGCACAAGCCCTGCCACGCAAGTACAAGGTCCCAAGTTTGATTCCTGGTACCAAAAAAAAAAAAAACCCAAAAACAAAACCAAAGTCAAGGTACAAAAATGTTGGTTGCAAAATGTGTTACATGTGAGGCATAGTGGTGCACGCTTGTAATCCTAGCACTCTGGGATGCTGAGCAGGGAAGATCACAAGTTCCAGCCCGGACTGGACAACTTAAGAGAATAGCAGGTCCCTGCCTCAAAAAATAAAAAGGGACTGGGAATGTAGCTCAGTGTGAAGACCCTCGGTTCAATGCCCAGCACTAAAAGAAAAGGGGGTGGGGTGGGGTGGTTTGCACATCTGGCTAATCTATAAAACAAATTACAGTCATGCATCAATTAATAATGGGGATATCTTCTTAGAAATGTGTCACTAGGTGATGTCATTATACAAGCATCATAGAATGTATTCACAAAAACTAAGATGGCTATGTTGTCACCAGGTGGCACGATCTTTGGGGACCACTGTCGTACCTGTGAGACATTATTGATCGAAATGTCGTTATTTTGTGCATGACTGTATTTGTCAAAGAACCAAGAGATTCTTTGATAGTAAATATTGTGGCACAGTATCATCAAACTTATGGTAGTGTTCGGGGCTGCGTAGTAGAAAGAACCCAGATGGCTTCGGGTTTACATTCTAGATCTGCTCCTTATAAGCAACCATGTGATCTTGATCAAGTCAATTAAACACTGTGGGGCTGAGCTTTCTCATCAGGGAACACAGACAATACCGCCTGCTACACTGACTGTTATGAATTAGGTCTAGACTGTCCCCCAGTGCTTCATGGGTGTGGAAAGTGACCAGACCGTGGCGACGCTATCCTGATCAGTGGACTAACCCACTGATGCTTTTCGAGCTGACTTGCTGTTAGGTGGTGGGGCCTGGCTAGAGCTTGGTCACAGGGAGCGTGACCCGGAAGGGTGTGTGACCCGGAAGGGTGCATCTCCCTTCCCAGCTCTCCCTTTGCTCCCTGCTTCCTGACCACCATGATGTGAGCAGCTCTCCTCTGCTGCGACCCTCCGCCATGCCGTTCTGCCTTGGAGCTGGCCAGCTCAACTGTGAGCCAAAACAAACCTCCCCTCCTTCAAGCTGTGGATGTCAGATACCCTGTGCCAGCAATGAGAAAGTGACTAAGGCAGTATAGATCCATAATTGATATGTATTCCACATATAAATGTAATATATCTGTGTTGTAGCAAGGTGTCAATTAACGCTAATATCTTACCTCTTACAACAGGCTATTAGCTAAGGCAATCATTTAAATCAAATTCAAAGTAAGCTTTTAAGAAAGTAGAATGATTTAATGAATCCTCATGTACCTGTCTCCCAGCTTCAATAATTATCAATTCATGACCAATTTTTACCCACCCCCTCCATATAATTTTGAAGCAAATCTTGAATATATTACTTCATATGTGAATATTTTAGTAGAAATCTCTAAATGTAAGACCTATTCAAACATTAGTCATTTCATCATCTCATCTGAATAAAAACAATTCCTGATATTAAATATCCAAAAGGTGTCCAAATTTCTAAATGTCTCATAAATGACTCTATTTTTAAAAATCTTTTTTTTTTTTTTAAATCGGGGTCCACAATGACACCCACACATTGCTGTTTGTTGATAACTACTTTAAGTCTCTCTTGGTCTCTTGTTTGTCTTGCAGTTCGTTGAGGAAACTGGCTCATTTGTCTTGTGGAATTTGTCATACTCTGCATTTTGCCGATGGCACTAAAGAAGTCTGACTTTTAAAAATATTTGATTTGTCACTGACAGTAACTAGCATACTGAATGTATGGGTTTTTAAAGAGCAATGGCATAAAATGACTAATAGAAACAGAACAGAGGGCCATGAGCATAAGATCAGTGTTATTCTAACCCACTGGAAGTAATAAAAGCTTACACGTGTGACGGGGGAGTCTTGTCCAATGCTAGCAGGCTCCACTTCTCTTTTATGCCGGCTATCTGCACCCTGCACCGCCTTCACTCCCTTCCAGATGTGACTTCAGGAGGTCTTGGGGCTGTGCGGCTCAGTAAAGCCCCGGGAACGTCCAGCCCTGGGCGGAGCCCCAGCCCACTTCTTCCCCCCGCCAGGATTAGAGGAAGGGCGTAGACCCTGGCAAGCCGGGTGGGAGGAGGAACTTGGATGGGGACAGAGAACCTCTGGTCCTGGTCCATGTGGATGGGGAGAAGACGGCTTCAGGGGCCAAGCTGAAGAGAACAGAGCTGGCAAAGCTGAAGGCACTCGCCCACACGCCCTGGCTAACGCAGCTGCTCGGAGACTTTCTGCTTAACAGGACGACACTCCTACGCAATTTTAACTGCTTAAGTGATAAAACCAGACAACAAACAAACACATCTGCCTCTAATGCTTTTTGCAATGAAGGATACCAACAAGTTTCTTTCAAACATAAATTGTATAGCAGCGAGTACACACACACACACACACACACACACACACACACCCTTTAGAAGATCTCTGCACTAAACGCTTTTTTCTGTTAAGCAAGGACTAGACTGCCAGTGATCTTCAATATGTCTCACTAATGACAGCCCCCAGCATTTTGCACCTAAGTAGTTTGGCTGAATTTTCCATAGGTAGATAAACAGATGATAGATAGATAGATAGATGATAGATAGACAGATGGAATGTGGGTAAACTTATTTTTAGAGACTTCCTTTCAGTTTCTCCCATATAAAAAATGGCAGCAGGGTTGGGGGCGTATCTCAGCGGTTCAGCGATTGCCTTGCCTGCATGAGACCCTGGGCTGGTGGCAATAAAGTGTCTCAAGAAACACTTCCTTTTCATCAGTCTCCAATAGGGTTTTCTTCCTCCTCCCTCGGCACCAGAAGTATGGTTGGGTAGGTAAGTGAATGAATAAATGAATGACTATGGAGATAACATTATTTGAGGATTAATAATCAAGGAACACTAACAAATAAAATTCCATATGACACAGTCTGACCATAGACATCTCTAAATAACAAGACTAAATCTCAGGTCCCAGTTTCAAGGACCAAGTCAGAGATAATTAACCTAACACCACCACATCAAGCCATGGGATGCTGTGGATCTCTCTGAAATCTAACGCAGCTCCTTCATCCCCGTAAAGGGAGTGTGTATTTCCTCAACTATTACACTAAAGTCTCAGGGCCAGCTAGTTGTATTCATTGGATGTTATGGGGAGAAGTTTCTAAAACATCAAAGGTTAACATCTTAACTTGTTCTGTAAGTGTTCTGTTACCAGGTTCTTCAGATCAATAACCTTTACACTATGTAGGATACAGAAATACATTAGAGAAACAACATGGCAATTCATATGGCCACTAGGTTTTTGTGCCCACCTCATGCTATCATAAGATATATATTTAAGCTTATAAAAGCACAAAATGTTTATATTACTCTTTATTATCACATTATATATTAGCTAACATTTACTGTGCACTTCATTATGTGCTAAGTGTTTTATTCCCGGCACTCATGACCTTAATCCTCCCCACTCTGCAGATAAAGAAACTGAAGTGTAAGTAGGTTAAGTAGTTTGTTAAGGTCACAGAAATAATAAATGATTTAAATAAAAAAGAAAAGAAAAAATACAAAGAAGGCCAAAATTCCTCACTCTGACTTTTAACCCTCATTCTATGTGACATTTATTCAAACTGCTTCTCTATCCTCAAAACCAGCCAGGCTGGGTCAGGTTCTCAGAAACACAACTGGACCAGGAAATGCATATTTATCTGTGTGAATCCCACCGCCTGTTGATAATGGAAATTATGGCTGGGAATACACTGTGCAGAGTGGACATACAAATCGAACTGCCCAGCAGTCAATTTTAATCAACTTAATCTATCAATTTTAGTCTATCCCCTGGGGAATGACCCTAACTGTACACTAGATTTGCTTCTTGGAATGTCTACATGCACATGGTACTATTTCTCTGAATTGGAAGACAGCTGAAAGAGTAAATGATTATTCTGTGATCTGTGTTTGATTTTACAATTATTAAATGAGAGAATGTTGCTAATTTCCTTAACATTTGTCTGTGTGTTCCCCTAAATGTGTATGATTACCCTCCTTTACTTGTTCCTTGTAGGAGAAAGGTCTACCAGCTAGAACCAGGCACTGAACATTGAATCTGATTCAAGCACAGTCGTCATGTCGCTTTCCCACACTTACGCTCCATTTAACGTCTTATATTTAGAAAGTATTTCCTGGAGTGTAGGGTGGGAGGGATGGAGGACACAGAACAAAATGTTTTAATGGGTTTCTCTTTTTTCCCCACAATTAAATTCATTGCTAAAATGGCCAATAAAACACTGAAATCAAATTTAAAACCACGCTTACCGGCTGCCACTCCGAAAGTAATAAAGAGACAGTGCACGTTGGCAGCATAAGCACTCAGCACCCAGCCCAGGGCGTTCAGCAGCCCCCCCACGATGGTGGTCCAGCGGCACCCGCAGGTGTTAATGAACAAGCCGATGAAAGGTCCTGCCACGGAACATCAGAGAAGGAATTGATTAGTGGTGCTTTATTTTCTTGCTTCCTTTTGCAGTTGTTGTTCTTTGAGACTGGGTCTTACCAGCAGTTCAGGCTGCCCTTGAACTCTCTATGTAGTACAGGCTGGCCTCAAACTCATGGCAGTCCTCCCACCTCAATATTTTCATGTTTTCTTAGTGAATCATGCACGAAAGCGAAGAATATAGCCATTGAATAAGGCAAAAGCAAAACACTGTGTTATGTACACAAACCTTTCAGCAATGAGGTTCTGGATTTTCAAGGAAAGCAGACGTGAAATGAAGAGGCAAATAACACAGGTTCACTCCTTTGTCTACAACAGAGGTCCTTAACTAGTGGTCTAGGAGCAGAATGCCTTTGGCAGTCTTGAACAAGGTTTGGAAAAGGCTTGTAATCAGTTGTCAATATTTAAAAGTTAAGAGAATTAAAAATAAATCCAGCAGCAGTTCTGACCACCTTCCCAAATGGGCAGAACCAGCGGTGTGGTTTATCAGTTGACTCTTTAGCTGTCACTCCCCTCCCAGATCTCCAGCCTGGGGTCTCTTTCCCTTGGTCCCTGTGGTCTCCCAGCTGGCTGTCTGGCCTCATTTACAGTATTTGTTTGGTCTCTTTACACATTCATAGTTTTCATTCTTTTTCTCTCTTTTGTTTTTGTTTTCTTTGCCAGGGATCCAACCCAGGGCCTCACACATGCTAGGAAAGTGCTCTACCACTGAGCTACACCCAGCCCCTAACTTTGAGTTTTTGACTCTGGTTCTTAAGGGAGCTTGTTCTGAGAACGCCTATGCTTCAAGCAGGGAACCTCTTGCTTTTTTCTCAGGACCCTAAATGCAGCCGAGGACTTAGTCGCACAGACCTCCCCCGGTTCCTCCTGCACCCTTCAGGTTCTGCATTTGTGACTCTGTGGATCTCAGGAGTGCACTTCACAGGGCAAAATGTGACAAAACACACAGCAGCACATTTGTTTTCTTTGAGACAGGGTCTCACTGTGTAGCCCAGGCTGGCCTCAAACTCACAGTGATCCGGAAAGAGTTTGGAAGGGAAAAGCTAGAGCATCTAAGTAAAAAAGCAATCAGAATCTTCATCATAAAAAACTGTGCTGCTAGTACTTGGGAGGCTGAGGCAGGGAAACAGCTTTGAGTTCAAGGCCAGCCTGAACTACATAGCGAGACCCTGTCTCAAAACCAAAAAAGTGTCCAATCCAAAATGTTAATAAGGTAAATGCTTATTAGTTTAATTAGCCTTGTTGCATTACAGAAAATAATTCAGTAGATAAAACATTAAAAAGGGGCTTACTATATTAATTAATTCTACCTATAGTGCATGCTACATATTATAAAACTATGCACATTACTGCATATGAATAATATATAGCATAAGCCTGGTGGTATAAACAATTAAGGAAATTGTTGGGAATAATGGAAATTCAGATGCCACAGGTTGAAGCTACAGTATTTCTTTGATTTCTTTACACATATTTTTATTTTCCTAAAGCCACAGTCACTTGACCACACCAAATTTGGATGAGTGGGTAAAAAAGAAAAGTATATGACTCATCGGTTTGCTGTCCATAGCTCTTTTTAGATATGAAGGGTCAGTAGGTCACAGTTCAGTAGCCCAGTGTTTTCCAAATTACACAAAAGGCCCAGAAGGAAGTTTTCCTGAGATACTGTGTATTTATGAAACGCTGCACCAACAAGGCATTTCAGGGGGGTAAAAATAAAGAAGAAATTCCCAAGTCAGCACAAATATTCATGTCTGGATGAATTTTATAAACTAGCCAGAAAGCACTGAGGTTGTTTTTGTTTGTTTGTTCTGTTTTTTGTGTTGAGATAGGGCTTCACTATGTAGTTCAGGCTGGCTTTGAACTCACTACAGAGCCCAGGCAGGCCTTGAAATTGCAGTGATCCTCTTGCCTCAGCCTTCTGAGTGCTGAGATTATAGGCATGCACCACCACACCCAGCAGTACTGAGTTCTTCAATGATAAGAACAGGAATTTGATAATATGCAGTGGACAACAGTCTGGCTTTCTAGTTAACCAACTTTTGCAGGTTGGAGCTTCTGTCACTTACAAGTCACACACGGGCAAAATCAGCACAGAAATGCTGTGAATTCTCCACAGTTAAGAAAGAGATCTTTAAAAAAAAAAAGGAATTCAAACCCAAGCTTACCCATTTCAGTCCCATTTCCTAAACATTGTTCCTTGGTGGCCAGCAGGTATCTGCAACATCCAGTTGCCATTTCAGCAAAATAAAAAGAACTCCCCCCACACTTTGAGGACAGGGGAGAAAAACTGAGATATATCCCTTTGATTATGACTTGGACCAATGTACAATAATTCAGTGGTGTTGTGGTTTATAACTAGATGTCCCTCCAAAGCCTCATGTGCTTACAGGTAGGGTGCTGGGGAGGCAATTGGATCATGGGGCATGATACTCCAGTGGATTAGTGCCCTGATGAGTTCATAGCTGGATGTGATGTTGGGAGCTGAAGCATGGTTGGAGGAGTGGGCCACTGGGGTCATGACCTGGAAGGGTCTATCTCCCTCTTCCCCCCTTGATCCCTCTCTCTGTTCTGTGCAGCCATGCCATGAGCTATTTCTCCTCTGCCATGCCCCTCTGCCATGCTGCCCTGCCTCAGAACCCACCAGCTATGGACTGAAACAGTGTCACCCCATTTCGCCTATCCCAGTATCGGATAGTCCAGTAAGGCCATAAAGTTCCAGTGACAATGACAGTCTGAGGTAAGCCTGGCTGGCACTTGGGGTGAAAGAAGGTCATTCTCTGAACCCTGAGTCCTGTAGGATAAAGATTTAGCATCTCTAAATCCACGGCTCCCTGTGTTGGCTTCACACTGCATCACTCTGAAGCTTAATAAAAACCTCCTGATGCCTGGACCCCATCCCAAGGGATTCTGGTCTAATAGTCCAAGCGCAGCTTGAATATCAGGATCTTTAAAAGCTCCATAGGTGGCTCTGAAGTGCAGCCAGGATTAATGGCTACAGCTCTAAGTCCACTTAGGAAGCCAATCATCTTCTGTAGCCCATGGATTCCCTACCAAAAATTATTCAAGGTGCTGTCATCACAAAAGTTGCCTAGACAAGAATGAGGGGAGTATGTTTTGGTAAAAGCTGGGGCCTCCAGCAGGACACTTGAAATCCGTGCTGGTAAAGAATGAAATAACGCCCATTTATCAGATTTACCACACACAAACTGCTGACCAAGGAATAGATGGCTTCCAACTACTGCAATAGGATTCATGGATTTTTTTGAAAATTTAAAATGGGTAACCTAAATATGCTTACAATGATTAGAAGATGCAAACAATATGTATTTATTCACCGCAAGTCTATTTTCAGCTCTTATTTGATGTAGGGCACGCATTTCTGGAGTTCAGTGGACCAGGTTTGAAGTCTGTTCTACACTTCCTGGCTGTTCAACCTTCAGTAACTTAGTATCTCTGAGTGTTGCAAGTTCTTTCTTCCTAGGAAAGAGATGATGGCCTGGCCTTCAGCATCATAGGATCATTGAAATCACGTATGTAATGTGCCTCAACCTGTGCAGCCAGCGGGGTCCTGAAAGGGAGTGACAAGAGAGTAAGAAAAAACTAGACATATATTAAAAGGAAAGCTGGGACCAGGTGGGACCTGACCTCTCTGATGGAGAGACAGCAACAGCCCAGCATGGTTTTCCTTTCCTTTTCCTTTTCCTTTTCCTTTTCCTTTTCCTTTCCTTTCCTTTCCTTTATTTCCTTCCTTCCTTCCTTCCTTCCTTCCTTCCTTCCTTCCTTCCTTTCTTCCTTCCTTCATTCCTTCCTTCCTTCCTTCCTTCCTTCCTTCCCTTTCTTTCTTTCTTCTCCCTCTCTCTCTCTCCTTGTCTCTCTCTTTCTTTTTGATACCAGGAACTGAACCCAGAACTTTGCACTTGCCAGGCAGGCACTGTGCCACTAAGCTATCTCCCTGGCCCTGCACCTTTATTTATGCACAATAAAAAGGTGGTAAGGGGCTGGGGATTTAGCTCAGCGGCAAAAGCGCTTCCCTGGCAAGCGCAAGGTCGTGAGTTCGGTTCCTGGTACCGGAGAAAAAACCAAAAAAAAAAAAAAAAAACAAAAAAAGGTGGTAAGTGTGAGATGGGGCAGAAAGTGCAAGGTCTCAGTGTTTTGCTAAGAACACTGAAAGAAACAGTCTCAGAGCGATCTGTGCTATAGTTGACATGGAAGAACACCAAGACTGGACACTCGCTGGACTGGCCTTGCTCCGGCCCAGACAACTTGTTCACATGGTTCACTTCTGGTGCTCCGTGTTCTCGGGCTGGCCTTGCTCTAGCCCCAGATGTATGGCAGATCTCCAGCTCAGCCATTCCAGTGGAATTAACGATGACAGTTGCATTTCACCATTGCTGTTCATCAGAGGTTCTGATTTTAAGAATTTAGGTTCTGATTTTAATCATGCTCAAAGCCATGTCCAATAATTTTGGCACTGCTTTCCATGCTTATTTCATGGTTTCCATACTTATAACATGAATCATGAAATAAGATAACCCTATTGGACAGCTTGGGAAACATTGGAACATTTTGTATCCTAGCCTTTTTTTGAAGGCTTTTTGGTAGCTGTTGCAGGTGCATACTTCCTAGATTGAATCTATGTTTTGATCTATACTTCAAAAAAAACCTAAGAATTCTGAATTACAGCATATTTTATACTGGAAGCAAGTTCAATCTTCTTCTGGTTTTGTGAATAAATATGCACTCCTCTATGTGACCTTAAAAGGTAAGAACACTGAATTTTAAGTGTTCTAGAAGCACAATTTCCCTTTTTTGACCTATTGAAAGGTGGAACGACACCCAACAGAAAACCTGAACATTCTCTACACTAAAGTAAAGCTGCCTGCATTTTTCATATGGCAAACAAACAGGGTTGGGTTTCTTTCTTTTTTTTTTTTTTTTTCAGTACTGGGAATTTAACCCAGGGTCTTCACACAGACCCACATCCCCCATCCTTTAACATTTTTTTCTTAAGTTTTGAGATAAGGTCTAGCTAAATCACTAAATGGTTCAGGCTGGCTTGGATTTTCAATCCTCTTGCCTCAGCCTCCCTTACCCTCTTGCACCACCATTCCCAGTTCAGTCCTGGTCTTACCAAGAGCAATGTGGAGTTGAAAGAGTTAGTCAATAATGTTACAGACAAAGGTGGTTTACCCATAACCCTCTCACACACACAATGGTGCCTTTATTTAATTTTAACACTAGATCAGTAACAGTTCCTTCTGATACACACACACCCCACACACATCTTGAGAAATAACACAATGTTCTTCTTTTCTACCATTAGCACTAAAACACTGCATTACTGCTGTTTGTATTATCAAAATAACACCAAATGAAGGTCTGCCAAGACCAACACATCTCTGACTCAGATTTAGGCAGTTAATTTCTAATGCAGAAATAACTGAATAGCTACAGATTCCCATCAAACACACATATGCTATCACACACATACTCATAAAACCAGAAGATTAGATTTATATTTGCAGTATAAAATATATCATCAATATTTTAAATTAAAAAATAGATGCAAAGCATCAATTTACCTTCAGGTGAAACAGAATGTTAGAGTGTAGTGGTAAAGACCTCAGAGGATTAAGAGACTTAAATAGAATTAAACAAGATCATTCAAGGAAAAGCACCTGGTGTACAGAAGAGATGCTTATTAATATTAGTTGAGAGTGAAAGTTGTCTGGTTCCCAAATTGAAACACATTATATTATAGTAAGTTCCTGGTTTAGTATCTCCAACTACAGAAGAACTGGTTTTGTAGATGGCTCTGTAGTTACGTTCAACTAGTAAATACAAAAATGTATTACTAGTCTTTCCTGTTATATCAGCAAACTTTCTCAGAACAATTTAATAGATTTATCTAGTAACAGACGATCAATAAAGTTTCAAATTAAAAATATTAAAACTCCAAAACAAGTTTGTTACTTGATTATCACTGAGATACAACCCCAGCCCTTTACCTTTTAAAAGATATTCTTAAATGTTAAGTAAGCAGAGACTTGAAATGATATAGTGAATGTAACAGTTAACAAAACAGAGTATGAGACAGGAAAGAGTTTTTTAAATGATCGGGTTTTTGTGGTTTGTTGTTGTGTTTTGAGACAGGGTCTCACTATGTAGCTCTGGCTGACCTTGAACCCATTCAAGGCCTCCAACTCATGAGGATCCTCCTGCTTCAGCCTCCTGAATGCTGTGATTACAGGCGTCTGCCACCATGCCCAGGTTTAAATGATCTTTTTTTTGAGACTGGGTCTCACTATAGTTCAGGCTGGCCTTGAACTCACTATGTAACTCAGATTGGCCTTGCACTCTCAGCCATCATCCTGCCTCAGCCTCCCAAGTGCTGGGATTTTAGGTATACACCATTATGCCCAGCTTAAATGATGAATTTTTGACGCAAACAATGCTTAAAACATTCAAATAGTCATATCATACAAAAGGACAAATATAGGATTTCACTTCCACAAAGTACTTAGAATAATCAAATTCAGAGAAACAAAAAATATAGGGGTGGTAGCCAGTGGCTGGGGCAGGCAGGAATGGGGAGGTGGTGTTTCACGAGAACAGAGCTTCACTTCGGGGGGATGAAAGAGTTCTGGAGATGATGGTGGTGCCGGCCGAACAAAAATACACATGTACTTAATAGCCCTGAGCTGTGTACCTAAAGATGGTTAAAGTGGTACCCTTTGTGTTCTCTATATGTAACCATAATCATTATTACTTGTTATTTTTTAAAGGAGGAAGGGTTTATTTAGCTCACAGTTTGTAGAGGTTTCAGTCCATAATCGGCTGGCTCCAAGGCAGAGTGGCACACGGCAGAGGGGCCACAGTTCATGGTGGCAGAAGTCCACAAAAGCAACAGAGGAGGACTGAACCATAATTTCAAAAACTAGAAACGTCACTGACATTAAGATCTAATGTTTCACCAATACCAGGCATTGCTCAGGCCGGGAACTGTCATTGGCAGCCCTTGGGTTTCCCATGGGTCATGCACAAACGTACCCACGATCAAGGTGATGCCCATGCTCAGGGAGCTCACCCAGGCGGTGAGCCCACGGCTCTGGTGGAATTCCTCCAGCCACTCCACGTTGAGCACGCCCAGGGCCATCTGGGAGCCCATGATGAGGATGTGCACGAAGAAGGAGGAGAGGACCATCATCCAAGCCCACCCGCCATCAATGTCTGGGTGGGGCTTGAGGGTCTTCTTATCCTTGGGGTCATCTTCAAAATCGTACCCGATGTCCTCATGACTCGTGTACATTTTCCAAGGTTTTCTGAAATACATAGAGAAAGTCATTTCACTGAGCAGCAAAACAAAAGCATATCTTCATCTTTTTTGGACTGCTCCACCACTAGAATCACATTAGGCCTTCAGATTAATCGTTGTTGTAGGCAGATCTGGGACCATTTCTTACCTTTTTCACAGGATCCAGAGCCAAGAGCTCCCACGAAGCCTGCTTCATCTGGCCTTTGCGCTGAGCTACATCCTCAGCCCTTAAAATTTTTTTTATTTTTAAATTTTGAGAGAGGGTCTAAGTCACTAGGTTACTCAGGCTGGACTTGAACCTGTAACTCTCCTACCTCAGCCTCCCAGAGTGCTGGGATTACACGTCTGCCCCACCACACTTAGCTCTGTTTTGTTTTTACAGCCATTTGTCTATAAATATCATAATCTTGGAAACAGAATAATAAACTCAGAGGAATGAAGTGATTTTTTGAAGAAGAGAAAGAGGAAGGGAGCTTGGGCTGAGCTTGTGCTTGTGATTCTCCTGCCTCAGTCTCCAACAGTGCTGGGGTTGATTACGAGGGTGTGCCATCACATCGGGCTTCACGTTTGCCTTTGGAAACGTCCCCTTGTTTCCACTTCCTGCATAAACACACGTGTTCCCACTGCGACGCTGTGCTATTCCAAAACATTCATGTTCTTTGGGGACTCTCTGATTTTTTAACAATGTAGACTGACCAGAGAGAAGCAGACCGGGGCAAGCCGCAGCCCCTGCAGCCTGCGTCGGTACATGCCTGAGCTGAGAAGTCTTATCATTAACCTGTCTAAAGGCTACGAGGCCTGTAAGCCCTGTCCCGCTTCTCGTCTGACAGGCTGGCTGCTCCCCATGCTAGCTTGGGTTCTGCCTAAGGGCGGACCCGATGTTGCGAAGGAAATAGGTGCTGGGAACCGGGATGCCGGGGAGGAGCGATGGAGTGACCCGCTCTGGGCTCATCTGGATGCTTCCTGTCTTTCCCGCTTGGTTCTCGGTAGGACTTTCATCTTTTCGATCATTCAGTCTCCTCAACAGCTGTGCAGTCCACAACCACGGCTGCCTGTGCGTGTTGCTCCGGGCCCAGGTCCTCTTTCCACCGCTTATCTACCTTATCCCACCCCTTCAGTCCGTCCTGAGGATCAAATCCAAGTCCCCCCTCTCTCCCTTGCTTCAGACCCTGGGCTGCTCTTGTGCTCTGGCTGCTGCCATCAGGTCAGCGCTGTCCCCGCCTGACCTCTGCACCTCGGCACAAGCACCTGCGCCTCCCCACACACTGCGCATGTGCGGTCGCTCCAGCAGTTGTGCTGACCACTCCTTCCCTCTCTGGGGAACAGGCTCATCCCTCAAAGCTCAGCTAAATCCTTAGAATGAAATTTTGAAACAATGAAAAAAAATTAAAACTCTGAAAACATTTCTAACATCCGAACATCAAAGCACTGCACCCATTAAATCAGCCAATCGCAGCCACGCTACCCCAGGGAGTCTAGCATCAAAAATACGGTTGCCCTGGGGCTGGGCTATCGCCAGCTTAGCAACAGAGCGCTGGCCTTGCACACCGGCCCAGGGCTCCATCACAAGAAAACTGTGGAGGCTCTTTGAAGCCCAGAAAGGCCAGGCTGAAGAGTGAGCTCTCGAAGGGGCTAGAAGACAGGCAGGTGCGATAATCCCTTTGTTCCTGCTGTTGTCCAAAACGTGGTATCTGTGGGACAAACCACTGCCGTGAAGCACAGAAAAACGCTAATGGTTCAGCAGGGCATTGCCCCTTCCTTTTTATTTTTTTGGTAAAAAAAAATTCTAAGTAAATATCTAAGTAAATAAAAGTTTCTATCTTTTAAATATCCAGATCAGCCTCTAGCCTATAGATGAATTAGTGGTTAATTGTAAAAGATGGAAAAAGGTAGAAAACCCAAGAGCCACTTGTCTGGGGTAATCTTCCAGCGTGCCTTGGGCTCAAAGCTTTTGCAGGCATATGTGTACACGTATGTGCATGTGTGCGTATGTGTGTATGTGTGCGCGTCCCCAACATCCATGCATCTTTCCTCCTACACAGGAGCCTGCTAGGGCCCCGAGGGAGGGGCAGCCCTTGCTCTCCAAGCCCACAGCCCGGGGAAGAGCCGCACACCGTCAGAGGACTGGCTGGCGAGCAGGCTCAGAAGGGATAGCTGCTGGTGCATCAGCTCAGTCCCTGCTTGTAACACGCAGACTCCAGCAGAACAAGAAAGAGAATCAGGCAGCTTGACATGGGTGTGAATGTCCGATGTGGGTAATAATGTCATTTTACAGTCGATCAGACAAAGCTCAGCTGTATTTAATATGCTAAACCAACAAAACTTGGCATTACCCTAAAGTTTGTTTACAACTAAAAAAAGCCTTTTTTTATAGTGATAGAGTTTTTCAATCTACAGAAAAGCACTTGAAATATGAAGCACTTTTCTAAAGCAACGTCAAGAACTTTATATTCTCAGTGAATTATTTATTTTATGGGTTGAGCTGCAGTTGCTGTTGGACTGTTGTCAGCATTTCCAGCTTATCTGTGTATAAATAAATGGCATTGTAGAACACTTGGTGGACACGATTTATTCAAGAGGCACAGCCCTGTATGCAGAAGTCAGTGCTCAAGAAGGGAGGGGTGAGACAGAAAGAAATTCCTTCAGATCCTCAGGAGGCAGTTTCGGCACTTTAGGGAAAGGGCAACATTCGCATTTCACACATAAATCTGTCTCAGAATAATTACTACTTGACTAGTCACAGTTAACTTAGTGTCCAACTAGATTAACTAAAGACAACAGAAAAATAAGTGCTCACTGCCTGCTATGGTTTGAAAAACCCCCTCCAAAATGCATGCTGGAATTTAACTGTCATTGTAACAGTATTAACAAGCAGAATGTTTAAGAGATGATGGGGCCACATGGGGTTTGCTTTCGGGAACGGGTATAGTCATTCTCACTGGGGCCGGTTAGTCACCTCTGGAGTGGGTTTCTCATAAAAAGGATGCATTTGGCCCGGACCTTCTCTCTCTGTGCTGGACATGCTGTGCTTGGCCTTGCTCTGTGCTATGATGTGGGAAGGAGGCCTTCTCCAGAGGCAGCCTGGACCTCGTGTTTCCCAGCTTCCAGAACCGTGAGCCACGCGTACTTCTACTGCTCATGATTTACCCAGGTTGTGTATTCCGCTACAGCAGCAGACAACTAAGACATCGCCCTACCCGCAACTTGCCCTTTAGCATTTCTGTACGTATATAATGAGGAGACACAAAATCATCATTTTAAATATGACAACTCTACTCCTGGAGGGTATCTGGACTGCTCCAGCACCGAGCACATCTTTCTCCCAGCTGGTGCATGTGACCCATTAGGGTAAATGGAGGCAATGGGTGTGAGTGCAGGGCTTCTGCTAAGGATGTACTGTTGGAAACCCAGATGCGGCAGTTGGGCCTTGCCCTGGGAGAGGTGGAGGAAGGGAATGGGAAGACCATAGGACCGAATGATCAACCTTCCATTCTCTCCAAAGGTGAGTGTGTAAACCAGGACAAAGAAATCATAAATGGCGGGGTGGAATGGGGCACACAGTAACACTGGTAGGATATGAAATGTGCCACCCATGTATTTATGTAGTAATAGGCAAAAATGAAAATGAAAGCTCTTTCTGGAGGGCATCAGATTAAAACACAATTAAATTTTCTATAGCTCTGTCATGGGAGGAAGTTTTACCAGTTAATCCATCTTTTTGATTTTGAATTTTGATCTTTTTCCCCCCACTACTGGGGATTAAAGCAGGGCTTCTTGTGCTAGGTAAGTGCTCTCTTCCTGAGCTATACTTCCAGCCCTTTTTAATTTTAATGTTGAGACGAGATCTAGTTAAGTTGCCCAGGCTAGCCTTGAACTTGTGATCCTTCTGCCTCAGCCTACAGGTGTGTACACTGGGTTAAATCAATTATTATAATTTATTACTATTATTATTGATTTGGCAATTGTCGTTATGTCACACATGGTGAGTTCATTATTATGGGAAGCAAGTTAACCAATTAAAACTAAAAGGACAATGTTACGGAAAGGTGGACTCGGCGCGCTGGTAGCAGATCCTCCATCGGACACAGGGAAGCGGTGGGATCACCTACAGCTTGAGTCTCTGTGGCTACTTCTGTCCTCCAAACCACGTGTCTACAGGAATTCTGGAGCGCACCAGAGACCAACAGGCCGAAGAGCTGGAGCGGAGAAGGCGGGGGAGCTGCGCTACGCTAGTGCAGACACCACAGGACAAGCCGGCAACCTGGCTTCGCACTGAATGGAGGAACGGAGCACACAAATGTCTCCTATAAGTCAGGACTGTGCTGGGTGGCTTCTCCGCGCCGTTCTGGTCCCACTGGCATCAGCGTCCCCATTTCTCAGATGAGGACACCGAGCCAACTGTTAGAGGTCAGACTACCAGGTGGTGGAAGCCAAGTCTGACCCCAAGCGTGCGGGGTTCCACCCCCACCCCCACACACTGGGCCAAAGGGCCTCTCTCCAAACCCCGATGGCAACCCTCCGTGACGCTTCGGAGCCAGCTTTTCTGCAGAAAGAGAACCGCCTGGTTGGTAAGCAGGGCTGAGCTCCGCGCACGTCGTCCCGGCCTGGGCCCCGGGTGGCCCCGAGATGGGGGCTCCCGGTCCCGCGCCCCTGTTAGTCTGTTCCTTGCGCCCTGGAGAAGCCTGGATTCGCGCCGCCAAGGGAGGCTCAGCATCGAGGGGGGCGGCCTCGGGCGCGCAGGACCCGGTTCCGCAGCGCTCGTCCCCGCCCTGGCACCGCGCGTCCCGGGGGCGCGCTCGGA